CGAGGTATTTCAAACGCTCAACTGATGTGTTCTTAATTGACCAGGTGCAGGAACCCGGTCATAGTGGGAAGTTTGTGGGATCAGGAGATGGACACAATGGGAGATCATTATCCTTTTTTTGGGGGGTTGTTCTAGACCAGTTAGGCCAGTTAGGCGTCAACACACGAGGCATTCACGAAACTATATTGAACCATGAAACTCTACATAGAATAACTCTTGAAATCAGCCACCTATCTGGACAGCCGATCCTCCTTCAGGCTCTTAGATGTGGTCCAGGAACCAGGACAAAACTACAATCCTTCCTCCTCACGCCAGGGAAGTCACCATGCCTAAACCCAACCAAACCAGTCATCTCTCCCGCAAAACCTCCAGGCGAGTCGATCAAGCAATTGCCTCCAACCAGGATGGTGCCTTCCCTCCATACCAGTTCCGAACCCAGTGCAGCTTCAGTGGCTTAAACGTGAGCCAAAGCTTGGCCGTGTCCTCATCGATCTCGTCCAGCGTCAGCTTCCCCGAGTTGTCGGTATCCTCGGCAGTGGAGCAGCGCGGAGTGCCGCAACACCCGCGGGCGCACCGGGGCTCAGTTCGTTCGGCGGCGCCGTGGCTTTGGTCGCTCAAGCTCTCCGGAAAGGACACACCCAAATGATGAGATATGATGAGTATAGATCACCTTGTTGTAGGTCTTAGAAGCGCCCCCAGTCATGACACCATCTCCTATAACGCACCTCGTCGGTGCTTTATAGTCAGCGTCATCGAGCACCGACATGTTTGTGTCACCCAACATGGCTCACTTGGATTTTGGCCTAAGGAACCAGGAAAACATAACACATCATAATAAGACAACATCCTCCCCAGTTTCAGGGGATTCACCTTCGGGGTCAACACAGAAATCACCCAGAAACTGCAAACAAACACGTGCGAACCCCGAAGGGGTCGCTGAAAACTGGACAGTTCGGCAGTTCACCTGGTTTAGAAGGTCGCCCATCCCAGGCCCAGGCAGGGCCATGTGTGGGCCTACCCGTGATGTGTTCTGAAAACTGGTGCTGAACCTCCCCATGCGATGCGGAACCTCCAAGGGACCCAAGGGTCTTCACCGTGGGAACATCAGCCAAGCTCATGCTTTTGCATGCAAAAAACAAACCTTCAGGTCCCCGAGGAAAAGCGACATGCTGCATGCTGAAAAAAGCACTCAACACCACATCCAGCTGTCGTGTGGCCAAGCGCTGGAAAAGCAAATAGACGTCCCCTGCATAGCCAGACTTCTCCTGAGGCAAGCCATTCTCCACTGTCGAAAAGAGTTGTGTTCGGATGGGGGCCGTTGACGGACGGGCTCAGGCAGGCTCGCACCACATGCTAAGGCAGGCTCAGGGAGGCGTTAACTCCCAACTGAACCATTCCCCTACACCTCCAAGTGCCTCCTCAGAATGTATTTGGACTCGCAACCCCACCCCTAGGGTTCTTGACCATCCTGGAACTTCTTGTGACCTATAGGATCCTATAGGTTCTGTAGGTACAGAGGTCATGAGGTCTTTGCAGGCAAGCAGCACCACCTGATCAGCACCCTGTCCAGACGTGACATCATCACCGGTGCGCAAGACATGTCACACAAACTCGCTCCAACTCGAGGTGATTCGGGGTATCCATTCATCACCCCATGGCCCGGGGGCCCTGGTATGAATCGTGGTGTCTGGTTCTTCTTGGTCCTTCTCTGTGTTTTTGAGGGGCCCGGCCTGGGACCCCCGGGATCCAGGTCCAGTCGTACCGATCTCCTCAGGTTCGACAGAGCCGGAGCCCTCCAAACCGTCCGATAACAAAAGGGTGTTTTTTTGGGCTCGGGGGACACATCTCAACTCACCCACTCGACATCGAAGGCAGGCGAAGATAGTCGAAGCAGTTCGACTTCGTGAGGACTTCGAAGGCCGGTCCCCCAGATAGAAACAGCTTTCCAATAGATGTTGGAAGGGCTTTCACTGTTCTACTCTTACCATCATATGTATTTGGTCAGTCTACATATAGTGTGCCCTTTGCAAGCGCTGTGTGTGTGTGTGTCTTCCAGCTGACCGAGGGGCCATTCCCATGCAGAAGACGTCGCTGGTGATGTGGAACTTATACTCCGGGTCAAAAATCTTCAGCCACGCACGCAGTATGGTACTCTCAACCTGGCCAAACGCTGGTCTGTCGAGTGGTGTGAAACACAGGTTGTCGAGTGGTGTACAAAAGCAAGTTGTTTGGAATGTCGGGGCGCAAATGGCTCCAAAAGGAACATAGGACTTCCAAAACAAATCCAAAAACATCCCAAAACCAAGGGCAGGTGAACATTTTGAATGAGGAAGTGTTTGGCGGCCATTGGCAGCCACGAGCATTTCTTGGGTTTGATATGGTTTGATCGACTGACTCCCTATGTAGACTGTTGCAGGAAAATACGGGTGAACCGCACTTGCCAGCTGTTAGTGGAGAAACCAATGCGCAAAAACATGTACAGTGGTTTCAGAGTAGATGGCACAAACCCCTACATGTCTTTTAGATGGGGGTCCATATAAACCACCTCTTGGTGATTGTGCCATCTACTCTGAAACCACTGTACATTCCCTAGAACTAACATGGAAGTGGACAACCCCCCTGTTTGTAGAGGACATATGGTCTTTCCAGAAGCCATACCACGGTTCCCATCAGGACGTTGCAAACAGGGCATACATTGAAACCATCATGGAAGTGGAACAGTTCGGTTGGAGGATCATTCTCCTCTACAAGGGAGTCCTGGTCAGCTTCCATGCATTGATCATTCCTACCAACAGAGGTTGAAGGACACTATAGCCTATCCCATAGGTACCCCAGTAAGGTCCTATTTACGGTCACTTAACCTCTCTTGGTACACGGGGACGAGGCTTTTCCTTCGACCATCAACATGACCGCGGCGGCCCACTGCTCCCGGTGCCACCTGGTCCGGTCCGGGTCCGGTCCGGGTCCGGTCCGGTCCGCCCCCGGAGTGCGGCGACCGGAGTGCGGCCTCCAGAAGGAAGTTCTTCACCACGACCTGGCTGAGCTGCCAATGAGGTGCCAAGAGGTTTTCCCAACCCTGGGAGTCCAGGTCCCAAACCCTGGGAGTCCAGGAAACCCTGGGAGTGCAGGAAACCCTGGGAGTCCAGGTCTGATTGGTCGACTAGTTCAAAGAATGTGGTCCATCGACCTGAAGTTTGGAATTTCCTGGATTTCAGGTGCCAAAGGTCGTCTTCAGACTGCTAAGGAAACGCCATCAAAGAGACTTACCAGGACCATCCTGTCTGGGTTTTCAATGGACCACCTGATACTACTTGGGCATTGGATGGTCCAGGTATATCTTCCGCTCGGACTTGAACTCTTGGGTGGTCTTGTGAAGAGTGCTGAAAATATGTCAAGAAGGGGGGGAGTATACAACACATGGTGAATGTTGTTGTTGTTTTGCTTTTCCTCTAGACTCTAGAAGTGACAAGAGATGACCACTGCCCTTATACAATGACAAGAGATCTTCCCTGGCTCTTGGGGTCTGTGCCATCTAATTACTCTCAATCCACTATGAGAAGAACCAGTGCCATTGACCTCTCCCCAGGCCTGCGGGGCCGGACCCTTGCGTGAGCGGTGCGAGTGGCGTCGACCCATTGGCAGCGAGCTGCGATGCTCCAAGTCATCCTGCCACAGTCGGCAGAAGGCGTCCCGATGGGAAGCGAAGAAAATGACCTGGTGATTCATGGAAAGTCTTGAAATGTCTTGAAATGCTCAGATGTCCACATTCGTGAATTTCATCCACAATCATACACATACTCTGATTCTCTCTTGATTCACTTAACACATCTTAACACCGTGCGCCCATTAAGCCATGCATCCCATCTTCCCTTCCCTTCACAGGCCTTCCCTGGTGAAGCACGTGCTGATCATCTTGCTTGATCATTCATGGGCTTATCATCACGTGCATCCAATTTAGTTCACCTGCTTCACTTCGCTCCAACAAAATGGCGCTTGAACGCCCCCGGGTCTCGCTTTCCCCGCGCCCGCGCGACTGCTGCGCCTCCTGCTGCGACTCCTCCGAGTCTCTCCGCCGGTCCACGGAGGGCCGGCGGTGCAGCGAGAAGCGGTTGGCGATGGACAAGCGGCGCTCGCGATCCATGCATTTCATGATGGGGAGGAAATGTGTGGCCGCGCTTGGCGGATCTCCCAGTGGAATGTGCGAAGGTTCGGGATGGGGGAGGAGGATCTGGAGTGGAGCTTCACCTAGCTTCACTGGATGTGTTCGGTGGAGGTTGTCTCGGGTGCTTTTGGGCCAGCCCGGTAGAGTGGAGTGGGGCGGGATTGGGTGGGCCCCATGGGGTGTGTGAACTGTGTAGGTGTTTCTGTAGTGACCTTGTGACCTTGGTGTTTTTTCTTTTGATACGAGCAGCGATGGAATGCAGCAAACTGAGTTTCGCAGGTCTGCGTGCGCAAAAAGCACAACACAGCTGATGTCTGGGGTTGTTCATGGTGCTCTCGTGGTGCCTGTCTACAAGCAAAGCTTGTGCTCTACAGCTTGAGTCACTACTGAGGCCTGCAGCGCCTGTGCCTGGCCCCTGCTGTGCGCCTTCTCAGCATGACATGCCACTGCTGCACTCAGAAGCCGGGAGCTTAAGCATTGGTTGTGGGCAATACTCCTACATCGAACACCTCCTCCTGACGCTGAAGCAACAGCACGGCGCTCGCACTTGGAATAAACAAAACAAAAACACACGCACGGCTGCTGACCAGCTGGGGATCTTCAAACAAATCGAAATGAATGACACTTCTCAATGAGTTAATGTACCAGGACCCTCCTGTCGGGGTGTCCAATGAACTACCCCACACCCCTTGGAGGGTCCTGGTAGACTCTTGACTATATAGTCAACCCCCCCAGATCCAAAACTCATGTGAAGCTCCGGCCACTGCACATGCGCGCGCGGTGTGGAGCTGTGGGGGTGGGTGGAGGCCGGCCGCGCACCACTCGCGCTCCAAGTGTCTCGCAGGCGCGTCACAGCACCACAAACCTTCTCAGCAAGCTCCACAGCCTTGCAGAAAAACCGTTGGGATGCGGTGTTTGTTGGTTGTACATGGGGTCAGGTGATGTCAGGTGCCATGCGAAACAAGATACCTGCTGAAATCTGAAGCTGAAGGATCCGGGGCGTTTTCACCCTTTGAGGGATCATCTAAGACCAGGTCGAGCTTGGCCAAGGGGAACAAACCAAGAGTCAGCCGTGCTCGTCATGACTTCACCAGAGGATTTGCCGAATCGGGAGGGGAAGCATATGATATTTGATAAGTCCTTGTTTCAGGATGTTTCAGATGACTCTCCCTAGGGCTCCTGGCCCACCTCCTGAGGTTCGGTGGTTGGGGTGGGTGCCAGGGGGGCCTAACCACCTTCTGAGGAGATGGTTGGAGCCCTAGGGTCTGGAAGTGATGTGAGTTATAGACATCGTGGAAGGGCAATTCTTCAAGCTCCAAGGGTCGCATTGCAGGTCCGACAACGGTCGGCGTGGGGTCGCTCGCCGGAAGGTGCTTCACCAAAAGATCCGCTCCGGGGTCAGGCACCGAAGCGATTCTCTAAAAACGATTCTCTCCACATCTTTTGGAAATGAGTCACTCAAGTCAAAGCAGTTCCAATGCTCCTGTGGCATATCTTCCAGTCCCATAACAAATTGTCTGCACTTCTTTCTCTTGACGACAGTCAAGCCGCCTCAGGCTCTGCCGTGGCTTTTGCCAAGCCCTGAAGCTTCGAAATCAGTTGCTCCTTGAACGAACGAATCGCTCTCTTAAATGCACAAAGGCTGGAAAGAAAAGCTTCTGAACTTCCTGAAGTTCTTCAAACAACTGGGGAACTCCATATATTATATTATAATATATAGTTTACCTTCCGCTGCTTGTTCATTATCTTGTTGAATTGACTGCAGGTTGTTTCTCCCCAACGCTTGGACACAAGTGCTTGTCGGTGGCTGGATGAAGGAGCAAGCATACTTAACATCCAGCTATCCGGGCGTCCCCGGAGTTTGCCTCGGGAGCACATGGGGGGTGCAAGTTGGCACAGATTGGCTACCCCCCCCACACGCCCCCACAAAGCTTGGATTTGCGGTCCCAAAGCCGGGCAAAGGAACACCTAGTTCATATTGACCTGAACGGACTCTGAACAGACTGGGAATTGACCGATGGGAACAATAAAACACTGACCCTAAGCAAAAACCAAGACAAAGCAAAACAAAACCACTTGGTCAAAGGAAAATGCGCCAAGGATCAAAGTCCACCACACTTCCGCGAAAGCTTGCGCTATCGCGCGCCACCTCTTCAGAGGTGACGAAGCCCAGCCCAGGGAAGCCCAAGCCAAGCCATTGCATGGGGTACTTGAAGCATATTTCATCGGGCACGGAGAACGCACTGCATGATGCATGGGATGCATGGGGTACTTAAGTGCTTAAAAGCGTCTGATTCCTTATTCACTGAATATGATGTTCCATTCCCAGACACTCCATGGGACTGCCATATGCCTACATTGACCCCCAAAACCACCCCAACTGATCGGCATCTATGGCAGTCCCATGGAGTGTTTGGGATTTAACTTTTGGACAGTCCGAGTGTTCACCGTATCCCGTTTCCCATTTCCGAAAACAAGCGGTGAAGCGAACGAATTCCACCGGTTGGATTGGAGGGAATCCGAACTCCTCTTCTAGGGCCGGGTAAACGCTTATCCAGTGACTGGGTACCAGTCGCGTTGCTATAGGTGACCTTATAGTAGGACCACAACCTGGGGTTTTTCGGGGTATACCAGACTGGGATCGTCGAACAGTCGGGTTCTTCTTTGCTGCTGGACATGGAAGAGGTTTCTCCCTAAAGCCGAATGTTGGTCGGAGATTCAGATGAATCCCCCCATTGACTGCGCAATACCGGCAAGGTATACCGCTATGCCGCTGTGAGCAGTCCGTGAGGCTCGAGCTGGCCGCATGCCAGCTAAGAACATGTTCAACTGTGGCACCTGGCTCCTTGGGGGTGGTCCCACTCCACTGAATCAAAAGGCAACAAGGCGAGCCGAATCTGCCCAAGCTGGAACCTGCCCCTCCACAGCCAGGCATAGCTGGAACTAGCGATCCGCGACCGGGGTTCTAGATCTTGGACAGTTGTTGCAGTGTCTGGTAGGAGGGTCGCCTAGAACATTGAACCAAGTTGACCCAAGTTTTTTGGGACATGCATCCTTGCAGTAGATCATCCCTTTTTCATCATTCCAGCTGGCCACCCCCAAAGCACAAGCAAACATGCTTGGATTTGCTTGTATATGGAACCGACCACGGTCCAACAATCACATCTGGTCGAAAAAAGAGGTCGAAACACCAGGTAGAAGCGTCTATCATCCAGGAGTCACAGAGCTCGCGGTGGTGTGGTGGTGTGGCTCGTCCCATCTAGTGGATGTGGATGTGACAGGGGGCACCCCAAACCTTCCATGGAGTCCGCACCCCGTCGAACGTGACTGCTGGATCGTGCTTCAAGAACCGGGCAAAACATCACATTCCGCATGCCACAAAGGTAGTAGCCCAGTTCGGGGAGTCAGCCAAATCCGCCAAAACCAAGTCCGACCTGGGCCGTTGCAAAGAGGGAACTCCTGGCATAGAGAGCCAATTTGCACTGACCGATTTAGTCACCAGTCATCGCATCCGTGGCATGCCACACACCTGTAGCCTCTCAGGGCCTCCGAATCGGCCAAATACGACTGAGACCTTTTTGAGCCACCCGGGGTCCCACGTGGCCTGAGGCAAGTTGTGTGCTTCATCGATCACCACGACCGCGTCTTGCAGGACTTGCTCGAAATTACTGCTCTCCTTAAGTCATTCGAAAGGCGAGCTGAAGAGCTGGAAATGCGAGTTGGAGAGCTGGGTGCGATCTAATGCGAGCTGGAGAGCTGGGTGTGTATAGCTCAGGGAGTAGGGAGACCTCTCAGTTCACGTCGCCGAGGTTCGCTCAAAGCATCGAAGCGGTCTATTCAAAGACACCCATGTGACTGACCAAAGCTGGCTGGGATGAAGGGCGAGGGGACTCCGAGCCAGGCATGCGACAAAAGGTGGCCCCTCCACAGGATCATACAGGATCAACAAGTAAAACCAAGATCACCTGCAGAGCGTCAGTTGTTCCCCGGAGTGGAAAACATCCAAAGGCAAGGATGCACTTGAGATTCGTGAGAGGGAGCTCTAACATTGGACAAATACTACAATGCAAGAGTGATCCTCAAGAGATGAACAGAACAGCAAATACCCCTCCTTAACCTTAACTTTCAACTCTAGTTTTTGTTGTCAAGCAACCCATCAGTGCAGTGCTGTCGGCACATTTAGGCACCAGAACATGAGAAACCACTCCAAACATGTCCGAAGCATGTCCGTCCAACGGCGGTCGTCTCTAGCATTCTAAACCCAGCTGTTGTAGTAGAAATGGCCAAGGTCCAGGACCGGAGCGTTTTCCCCCCCTGGTGACACCTGCTCCACGTGCCGGAAGTCGAACGACGAAAATCGCCCCCGGGGCCATGGGGTGGCTAATCACCCATGTTCACCTCTAAGGAGCTATAGCCTTGGACACCCCGAGTGGCCGGAGGCCCCTGGTATAGATCTATCACCAATTGGTGACCTGAAAAAGCCTAACTTCCTTCACTTCCAGTCTTCCAGTGGTGCAACATCGAGTCGAATCACCCTTTCCGCCACTCGGGTGTCTTCTTCACTTCAGCCACCCCCGGCGGGACGCTTTGCTTCCATCCTCGCTCCAGGAGTCTCGGACGCAGGGGTCCATGATTTGCGGATAGGTGCACAGAATCAAGGCCTCAGCCATGCGGGGTGATGATCGAGAACCCATTGGTGGGGGGTTGCCTATGATGTTTCAAACATGTTCAAACCGTTTCAAACCCATCTATGGTCGTCTAATTCTGTTGCCCGGTTTTGCCGAGGTGAAGGGTGGAACGCATGGCGATGCATGGCGGCCATGGCGATGCATGGCGGCGATGGCGATCACCGATGCATGTAGGTTGGCCACCGGGTACCCTCAAGCAACGCATCCCAAGGGCTCCTGGCCCACCTCCTGAGGTTCGGTGGTTGGGGTGGGTGCCAGGGGGGTCTAACCACCTTCTGAGGATATGGTTGGAGCCCTAGGGCATATATGTACCTGGCTGAAGAGATGGACATGTTGGCACAGCTGGAATAGTTCCAAGGTCGAAACAAAACACCGCCCGATTCCGCCATGTTCATTAAGGGGGGACCTTCTTGGAGCAATCGCCCGAGGTCGTCCATGTCGGTGGCTCAAAAGGGCTGGGTCTGATTTCGACGTCCGGATTTGGAGAATCTTCCCTGACGTCCCCGTTGCTTGGATCATAGGGTCCTAAATAAACATCCAGGAAAGGAAGGTCTAGGGATTCAGTCTTTGAAACCACTATGGACCACTGGCTAGCAGCTACAATCTGCTATATATCTGGATCATTGCAGCATTGCTCTCAACATCTTGTTTGGCTACAGTTGACAAGCAAGACCTGCACCCCCCAAGCAAGGGTTCCACGTTCTGAGATCTCATGCACAAAGCAGTGATTGGGAGTCGGAACACGTCCAAAATGCTCTGATTGTTGGGACATCTTCTGCAATATGTGTGGGCAGTCTTTTCTATAACAATTCTGAGAAAAACACATACATATGTTCCAAACTCTCCTGGAGCCACATTGGAGTGGTGGAAAAGGCAGGGTCTGGCAAATTATGTGAGGCATACACTCAGCGAACATTCATGGAAGTGGATGGCATGGCCCTTGAATAACCATGGGACCATAAATAACCATCTTCTTCTGCAACCGGTGGTCCTCCGATTCCGCTCATGTTTGTGCATGATCTTCCATGCAGTCTGGCCAGCATTGGATCCCTCCTTTACTCTCCCCGCAGCCAGGGGGCGTCGCCCGGCCTCCGAAGTCCTCCTGCCTGTCTCCCTCCCTCCTCCTGCTGCCCGGGGCACTGCACCTTCGCCCGTCAAATCCATCGACGCGTGATACGGGCAGGTCTGCGTGTCCTCAGCCGCCGTGCCAGAGCGAACCCCCGGGCATCCCCGTTTGCGCGCCCAGCGTGCGGGCGGAGGTGCCAACAGGTGGAGCTGTCCCTGAGATCTCCCAGAGGCATTATCTTCTTCCATAAGAACCTGAGATATCCTGAGATCCCTTCCATCTCCATCCCTTTGATCACCAAGATGTCAGAACTTTGGGTGAAAGGGACGGACATGGAAGGACTGACTTCACTGGGGCAGTCGAATTCGACTTCGTGAAAGCCCGCCGGCTCTCCCGAGTCAAGGAACATGGAAGTGGAGTGAAAGCCGCCGGCTTGGTCTTCTGATATCATGGTCATCCGAAATCGGGGCGAAGTGCCATCCACTTCCATGACATCCGGGAGCGTCAGATCTTTCAATGCCTCTGGGATCTTTCGCCTGGAAACTCCTATGTTTGATGCTTTCTGCACTTTTGACCCATCAATGGATGAAATCCCAAACCAGGACCATGAGGCTTTTGGGCATCCACATGGTTTTGGACCTTTCTTGGCATCCACCAAACGCGACATCTCGTGAGATCCCGCGTGCATCCCACATAGGGTCTTGCTGAAGAACTCACACCAGGGCATGGGACCAGAACTCGAGGGTTTGAAGGACTCGATGGTTTGAAAGGCGGTCGTTCTGAAGCAAAAGCATCACGAATCACAGAAACGATTCATGTCCAACACCTGCAGCTGCCATATGGGACCTGCAGCGATGTTTTCAGGGGGATCAGGAGCCCAGCTGCATCGCTCGCCCTGTTTCGGCCGGTTTCGGCCCTGTTTCCAGCCCATCTGCCCATCTCCTAATCTGCATGACTCGTTCCGAAACACGACCAATTGGGGCTGGAACATAATATGCATGCTTACATTGGCCCTGTTTCAACCACCCCAACGTTTATCTAATACTATCACAATACCAGGACCTTCCAAGGGGTGCCCAATGGAAGCCCCAGCCCAACACTAAGGGACCTCCATTGGATGCCCCTTGAAGGTCCAGGCATACAGCTCATGAGTATACACTCCTCCACTGTTCTTTTCTGCGTGTTCCTGGCCGTGTTTCATGGCCCTCTTTCACCAAATCCTCAATGTCGTAGACCGCCAGAGTGCCACCAGCCTCGACCCCGTCTTCCCAGAACTTCTGGGTGGACCCAGATGCAGAACTCTGACACACGAGGTTTGGGGGCCCCAAATGGGTCGAATCCAAGACTTGAAGGATTTTAGCATTATATACAAGACATTACAAGACTATAATGATCTCCAAATAGATAGTGGCACGGTGTCCAATACTTGAGAGAGGAGGGGGTGAACGAAAGGTAGCAGGCAATCACAAGTAACCCTGGTAGAAGTCCACGACGGCGTGACCCGGCGCAGGGGGGATTTGATCCAGGGGGGGGGGGGGCCCCCCCCCCCCCGACGAACAGAATCAACTCTTACAGGACCAAATTCAATGCACAATCCCAACTCCTGATTGTAATACATTTTTGCTAAAGCAAGGAGAACTCAGGTAGCTCAAGCTACCTTTCGTGACATTTTGAGTGGGGATGTACTTTCCTATCCATTGGATTCCATTGGGGGGTCTATATATAGGTCAACTGAACACTTTGTTGAATGGAGCCGAAGGCTCTTTCAATTGACACAGATGTTGGCTGCCGGAATTGGTCCAACGACGACCATACCGGAGACCGAGGAGACCGAAGAGGACCCCACCCCATCGAGACCCTCCTTTTCCACCCCAAAGGGATCGGTCCATTTCGTCAATGTGCAAGTCCCAAAAGTTGTGGTCGTGATCTGGGATGTAAGAGGAGGCCAAAAGGATGTAAGAGGAGGCCAATACGGTGTTGGGAGGCCAATACGGTGTTCTAAGTACCATTTTGGAGGCCCGAGCCAGCACCCAGCACCCGTGCAGCAGTCACCAGGCCTCGAACTTGGCGCGGTGCTCTGCAATGGTCGGGTAGCCGATGGCCTCGGCGTTGTCCAGGTGCACACAGCCTGACATGCCACCTGACTGCCGCGCCGACAAAGCTCGGTGAGTGCCGAGTGTGCCGTGACGTGACATGTTGTGACCTTCCTCACCAAGCTGGAATGAGGAAACAGCATCCTTCTGCAAAAAAAGATTGGCTGAAGGGCATCTTGACCCAAATATAGAGATAATACGAGATAATTAGATCATATTAGATCGATAGGTCGTATAGAAGAATGACAATGACAAATTAGCACCTAAATAGCACCAATAAAGGCTGACGGTTTCTGCAATTCCCTGAGACCTTAAATAAGAATCCCCACGCATGGCTTCGCCTCCCAAAGCATTGCCGTGCCGCGTCATGGTGGCCATCTCACAGGCCGTGGACTTGTCTTGTGCCTCGCCGGTCCCGAGAGCGATGTCGGTTCGGGCTCGAGTGATTCAGAGGGACGTGGGGCTGCATCCAATGCCAGGTCGGGACCTCAAATTCGGCTGGAGGTCATACATGGTCAGTCATACCCCCAAAAAAAACAAAAAAAGAACACACGCACACGCACATCACACCACTCAATGAACATTTTCAGGACTAGGAGACTGGACCTGGGTCAAACTGTCGACCTGAGACGCTTGAAACTCATGATCTGACTATCCCTACACCTCCAGTCGTACCTCCTCGGTATTTGGACCCTCCTGGCACCCACCCAAGTCCCACCTCAGAAGCTACGACTGGAGGCCGAACGGGTATATATGTGACCCGGCCCGGAAGTTCGGAATTTCTTGAGCACTGTGGTGGTGCTTCATGCATGGAGCCTTATGCCATACCAGTGTTTGGGTGTATCGGTTTCTATCGGTTTCTGGCTGACAGCCTTTGAGAGTTCCGTCAGAGACTGAACAAGATGGCAGGTATCAAATTCAAAATAAACGCCATTGATATCCATTGATACACCATTGCTAGACACAAAGACGCCAAATTGCAAAGTACAAGCCATCCAAAAGATCGACCAAAGGATGTGCAGGTTTCCAGGGCTCTCTCTTGATGCTCTAGGGTCGATGTTGGAGAGGAGCTGGAAGTGATTTTAACCACGATCTAACTGGGTGATCCGAAGTTAAACACTTGGGTGGTGTCAAGAATCGTCTTCACTGGACTCCTAGGAAAATAGGAAATTGAGAGTTGCCCTCCGCGCAGGAGTTGACCCTTCAGCCGGCTCAAGAAAGCCCAGGGTTTTTGCCAGGTGTGTTTCCTGGCATGTGCACGGAATCAGGCGCAGGGTGCGGTGCCGCGGCCCGAGAAGAGCCTCAGAGGTTACGAGGATTTGAGATGATACCCACACACTCCATGGGACTGCCATAATATATGCCGATCAGTTGGGGCGTTGCCAGGGGGGTCAATGTAAGCATATATTCCAGTCCCATGGAGTGCATGGGATAGATGACCTGACCCAAACTTGGGATTCTCCGGTCGTGCGTCGGCGCCGATGGGCTGAAGCCGGTGGCGGAGTAAAGGCGAGTAAAGGCACAAGCTTTCCTCCCGGCTCCTGCGTCACACGATGGTCCTTCCAAACATCCCAAGAACCCTGAGAATTGCCAACAAAAAAAAACTTCTTCAGGATTCCTAAGGAGCCCCCAAAGAAGTGGAGTATTGAACTGTTGAACTTCGAACATCTTCCAACACGCGCTTAGCGCGTCACCAGGCGTTTGGCGCCCCCCCGGCGCCTGCTGGACGAAGGGGTGCAAGCAAAAACGCTCGCGCGAGATGCGCAGGGACTCGAGCGGTCGGTAGGGTAGGCGGCGAAGCTCGCGGATGGTGTGCTCCAACCTCAGGAACTTCGGTGAGTTGGGCATCAAGGTCTGGGGCGATGAGTTGGGCAGGGATATGACTCTTGATGAATGAGGTGGCCACAAGATCAGCAAAATTCCAACGATATCCTACACGAAATGACATCTCGTTGCAAGTCATGTAGAACGAAGCAGTTTCCAATTGATGAATGACCCCCCCGAACCTGAAGAGATTTTACAATGCATGTCAGGGGGTTTTTATTCGATCAAGATCGAGCTTGCATGAGGTACTTCACAGTACCAAGACGAGTGGAAAAGCATACTCAAGTGGTCTTCCGAGGTGAGGGGGAGAAGCTGAGGGATGACGCAGAAGACCCAAAGCTAGAAACGCCTCGCAACATACCCCGGAAGAGCATGTCGGGACCCTCCAGCAAATTCCACCCATACGGTGCGAACGACCGAGCGACCGACTAGGGAACCTTCAAGGTCTCCTGGTTGTGACCCACAGCCAAACCCAGACACGACACATGGGACTGCCATATATGCCGCCCCAGAGACCCCCCTGGCACCGCCCCAACTGATCGGCATATATGGCAGTCCCATTAGTCGTGTCTGGGACATGGGCTCAACACGAGTTCAATAGATCGCCAACCTTCAACACTCCGCCTGGAAAAGCTCGCCGGTTTTGCCGGGAAAAACCAGTGCTGGCCTGACATCATGCGCCTGACCTGCTATAAACGCCAAGTGGATTCGCCCAGACGTCTGGGAATCGAACATCTCCCCCCAAACCTCCCGAAAACTAGATCTGATGCTGCCCACTATGCTGCCCAGCATCTGGTCATGCGTGCGCGCGATCCAAATCACTCGAGGCACTGCGGCTGGCCCATCCGGCCCACCCCCCGTGCCGGTTTGCCCATCTGGCGCGGCTTGGTCATCCTTCCTGCCAGTCCAATGTTGGAGCAAGAAGGGATCTAAAAGATTGTATACACCTGTCAAATCTTGTCACCTATCCCAAACACTCCGGGACTAGAATCAATCCCGGCCCCATTGAGCCCTTTCCAACCCTTGCTGCTAGGTGATGCCAGTCCCAAACAGGTCGTGTCTGGGCTATCGTCAAATCGCCCGTTCACCATCGAAAGGGTTCAACCATCGCGAGCTCCCTACACTGCCCGAATCACGAACCACGACGAACCAATGGGCCTCTATTGGACCATGGACAGCCCCTTTGAAAGAGCATCTTAAGAATCTAACCTCTTGATTCCCCACCTTTGTAGCCTTTAGAATCAAGAGGTCACCAGATACAGATTTACTTTCCTTTTCGTAGAAAGATGTGAGAGAGAAGAAAGGTGGTTGAGTGCCCTCTGGGTGCCGGAACTCGTTGATGCTCAAAATGCAGAGAAACTCGACCTGCTAACTCTGGGCCGTTACAATGAACAAACTGCTTCAACTTCTTGGACATGAGGCAGTCGCAAAGACGGAGACCCATGAACTTCATGGGGTATAACTTCTAGTCTTCGTACCTCATTCACCGGGAAGAAAAGCCAAAAAACATCCCCCAGAAGGGGACCCACCCATAGGGAAAAGTCACCTTAAGCAAAACCAGGGCTTCATCTTTTACCCCAACTCCCTTTCCCCGTCCTGCCCAAGCGGCTGGCGGGTGCAGGTGGCAGGTGATGCCCCTGCTGCTGCCAGGATTGAAAACACCTCCGCCGGGGAAGGCATTCAGGGTATTCCATCGGCTGAAGCTCAACGGCAGCTTGAGAGGAACCCTTGAAACGCTTGAAAGATAGAATGGTAGTAGAACAATGTAGAACATATATACTGTATGGGTTTGTCATTTCTTATTAAGACCTCCTCGTTGGATCCCTAGATGTTTATCCCATCTAATCAACAAAAAGAACACCGGGTCCATCATTCGGAGACCCAGGGGTCGTTCTACAGAAAACGCTTGAACACGCCTGACGCTCAAACACTCCATGGGACTGCCACACCCCAAAACAGACCCCCCGACTTCAACCACCCCTGGCCGGAACTCTCGGCAGTCCTATGGCAGTCCTCTTCGTCGAGTTTGGGATTCCTTCCCTGGGAGATTTTGGGACTGTTCCCGGTCGGCGGACACCGTGCGAAAAGAGATCAGCGATAAGGGGGGAGTGGCGGCATCCTCTCCAGCCATTCATGTTGGTGGCATTTCGGAGGCTCGAGCGAAGTCGCATCTCACCTCACAATGCGCCCGAACACATCACCAATCGACCTCATGGTCCGTGCAACTTGACATAAACTGAACAACACCGGTCTTGCAACCTCAAGTTGATGTCAAATTTGACTGGACTCTTGCTACAAAGGATGTTTGATTCCCACCCCAACTCTGCATCATCCCACCTCCACTGGAAGGCCAAGGATGAAGTGAGGAGTGCCAGGGTCCTGGGACAAGAAGCGAAAGAGGTCCTCATGGTTACGTGGACGGCATGACCCCAAAATGATGACCACTTTCCGAATACCAAACAGGTGGTTTTCACTCCACTTCCACGACTTTGTCGGGGAGTGTAGCCCGGCTGGCACATTTGATCTGTATGTTGCACTTCTAAGCTTAAAACCCCAGATTCCTACTAGGATCATCCTGTTTGGGTGTCCAATAGACTACCCTACCCTACTCATAGGTCTCAAGACAGGGCACCAAACAGGAAGTGCAGAGAGCACTTGGAACCCCACACCGTCCATATTTGTCCGTTGTTTAGTTCGAGACGCCGATGATCCCCGCCACGGGTTCCCACGTGAACGCCAAGGCTCTTTCCCGTGCCGGTGGGGCTTTCCAGCAATGCCACCGTGCGTTTCTCCATCGCTTCCACCGCGGCTGAAAGGAGTTGCAGCTGCGAGGGGAGTGGTTCCACGGGAAACCAAGCCTCCAAGCCATTGACGATGCTGCTGGAGCAAAGCCGCTCAACCTCTCGGGATTGTCGACCAAACCCCGATGCAAAAGGTCCGAAACCAGTGGTTGTCGGGGTCCATGTTCGTCTGCAGGGAGAGGTTCTTAATCGTTGGCTAGTGATGGATAGTGGAACATAGTGGGACTAGGACTGGGACTAGGTTTCCAAACCTGGCTACCTCAATGAAGCATGTGGTCGACGGGCTGTTGTTCGCTTGTAGTTTCTCTTGGCGAAGAAAGTCCCGCAACATCTGGTCTCCGAACATCCCTCCCAGTTGGCCACCTTCCATTCCATCTATTTTCTATGATGACTCGTTCCTTCATGTTTAACTCCACGCCTCTTCCATCCCTTCCATGGTCACCTCTAAAACACTGGATCTTCTCTCCCAACCCTCCGCCTCTGCAGAGCGGTTCCGGGCACTCCCGCGCACTCCAGGTGCTGAATCGTCCCGCCTGGTGGTCATAGCCCACCACCGGCGGTGGCAGCCGGATCTCCCAGAAGCGCAGCGCGGTGTTGCGCTCGCGGCGGTCGCGGCGGCGTGCCGTGGCTTCAGAAGCGGTGAGGCGCTTGAAGCGTTTGCCGGGCGGCCTGGGCACGGGTCAAAGTAGAAAAAAAATCCCAGGCTGGGCACTGGTGCTCCGTCTTTGGACTTTGAACACCAACAAATTCACAGGCAGGATGTGTTAGAGACCTTGGGCGTCGATCGTCTTGTCTTTTTCGTGCTTAATCCAGCACTGGTGTCAACCCTCACGTCAACCCCAGGCTTCCAACCACCAGTTTTTAGATTTATTAAACGCACTTACCAACCAACCGACCCAATCATTAGTGTTACACTTCGACTCACTAACATGGAAGTGGAGAATGGGCCCTTGGAAGATATTGGAAGATTACCTTCCTCTAGAAACAGGGAGTGTTGCACTTCCACGTGATGTGTTCGTCTGAGTGCACTCAGGATTGGCAGCTACGGAACCTAGGTCCTTTCATGTCCTTTCCAATGCTTCACATGGTGAAGGCGCGCCAATCCCTTCCGCCGAGTGTCCCCTCAGCCCTGGAAGTCCAAAACAGCAAGGAGCTCTGCCGTCCCCCGGACCGCGCCGCGGCCTGCGGAGCCGGAGCCGGAGCCGGCGCATGCACCGAGGGTTTTCGCAGGGGTGGAGATGGGGAGGCTGGGGAGTCGGGAGCCTCCGCAGTTGGAGACTCCGAGGAACACATCGGATGGAAGTGGATGACCTGGAAGAAGACAGACAAACAAACAAACAAACAAACAAACAAACAGTGGAGTTAAGTTAGTGAATCAGAGTGTAAAGTTTCAACTTTCATGGGCTCCTCAGAGTCACTGACTGGATCACAAGGAGCTTCGCCTTGGATGGTCCTGGTGGCTCGAGATGCTCGAGAGGACGATGCCTATCATGGGGGCAGAACCGGGCGACCCGGTTTCCCCACCAAACATGAACAGAATAGACGACCTGACAAGGTGATGTGCACCTACCAGGAGCTTGAGTCATGGATGCGACTTTTCACCCTACCGTGCACAGGGATGTGTCAGCGAGGTGAACAGAATAGACTACCCAGGGAGGTCAACCTTCCCAGGGTGTCCTGGGAGCTCCGGGTGCCACAACCAAATGGGTTCGGTGACCCCGCGACGGGGCATACAGTGGTTTCAGGGTAGATGGCACACACCTCAAAGATGTTAAGTACATGGGGGTTCATATAAACCACCGACATTGGGACGCATGTGACTCTCAATATCTCTCAATCCACTATAGGACCCTAGGCCTCTCGCCAAGTGAAGTGAAACAACTATACAACCATGACCATTTCTGTTCGACCTTCAGAAGCCATCTCATCTCAAATGATGACTTGCAAGTGAACCGCACGCTCAACAACAACAACAACAACAACAACAACAACAACAACAACAACAACA